GATCGGCCCAAAGTCACCCAGTCGGCTTCACACCTAAGATAGGACTAGAACTCACCGGACACCTAGTGATTGGTCCAATGTCACCCAGCTGTCTTTTCATGGCCAAGGTGACACTAGAACTCACAGTCGCCTGGTGATTGGCTCAAAGTCACCCAGCTGTCTTTCATGGCCACGGCAACACTAGAACTCTCAGTCTCCCGGTTTTTAGCCTGATGCTTTAACCACTTAGACCAAACCGGATCAAGATATTATAGGGTACCATCTTAAGACACCCTGAAAATACACTTTTTATTTATTAATTAAATTGATATGCCGCCCCCATCTTGCTGTCACGCAACTTTTACTTCGTTCGGTGAGAGGCCACCACGATTTCACCCACAACTCCCATCATCCCCAATGGGATGAATGTGCTTTGGGAGGGCCCAAAGGGTTTCCTTCTATCTTTTATTTCAAACCCACGAGCTGGAAGGCCTCCCCTATCTCTTCAACCGTGGCTTCATCGATAACGACGCATTTAAACCGGCTGCTAAATCAACCCATTTTCTGCCTTCCTCCCACATACGGAGGCAGGGATGAACCAATGGATTTAACCACTCTATACACACACACACCAAACAACTGCAACCAGGCTAATTGCGCATTGGGAGTGCTGGGTAGCACGACTATTTTTACCAGGTTGTAATTATCTTGATTTAAGTACGCTGCAGTGAAGGCAGCCATCAAACACTTCAGAATGACTCAAGTCACGGATGGAAGCCGTCAAGAGTGGGTGGTTGGCCCAAACCTTCTCCTAGGAAACGTCCTTTTCAACACAGGTTGGACCCGGAGCGCTTTTGCGCGTCTCAAGAAACTTTTAGGACTATGTATGATAAAAAGACTACATATCTGGTCTTGCATATATTAACCGCAACTAGAATTGCATTTGCGCAACAATGGAAAAATGATGGAGGTCCCATCTGAGGGGAATGAAATTAAGAAAATATTAGAATGCGCAGAAATGGATAGACTAACGCTTGCTATTAAGGGTAAAGAAGAAACTGAATGTTTTTTGATATGGGACACATTTTAGCAGTGGCTAGATCAGGGGTCAGAAACCTGCAGCTCTGGAGCCGCATGTGGCTCTTTCACCCCTCTGCTGCGGCTCCCTGTCACTCAAAATATACGTCACAACCGCCGGAATGCAATTTATTGAGCTTTTCAACCTCCAGTAGGCCAACCATGGATAAATCAAGAAAAGTTTCAGAAGAAAACAGAACGTTTCATTCAACTACATATGCTAGTTTTATGGCCACTCAAGAAATAATCAGGCACGGGAAGGGTTTTGTGGCTCCCGGTGTTTTCTTTTCTGTGGGAAACGGGTCCAAATGGCTCTTTGAGTGTTTAAGGTTGCAGACCCCTGCTTTGGGCCAATCACCAGGAGACGGTGAGTTCTAGTCCTGCCTTAGGCATCAAAGCCGGCTGGGTGACTTTGGGCCACTCCCTCTCTCTCAGCCCAACCCGCTTCACTAGGTGGTGGTTGTGGGGAAAATAGGAGGAGGAAGGAGTATTTGATATGTTCGCCACCGCTGAGTTAATTGTAAAAATAAAGGCAGGATACAAGCAAATAAATAAATAAATTGTGAAAGCCCCTAATCTATGTAGTAAAAATTATTTAATTTAATTAAAAATTTATGTATTAAATCTCACCATCCAAGCAATTCTTTGGCAAACTTGCAATATATTTTGAAGCAGCTCCTTTTCCCACACCAATCTACGTGCATGCTAATATAATTATAGCCATCTCTTTTCATCCAATATTGCTTCTGTTACGGGATCAATCTATTTCAACAAGGCTGTTTCTTGATCTAAAAACACTTTTTGCCACAATAAGCTGACACGCTACCTTACGAAGGCTGCATCGCAAACTTCGGTTACCGAATTTTCTTTTTTTTTTTTTAATGCAACGTAAGATGGAAACCGTCATAATAAGGGCATCGTAAGCAAAAGAGGTTTGAAATTTACATTCGGGTCAAACGTTAGTTTTTCTGTCGGTTCTCTCTGCAGGATATTTTGCAGGGCTGTGGCCACCAAACATATCCAGCAAAGGGAGATTTTATCTATTTTCTATCTATCGGAACACGGTTGCTTCAAGATCCCGGGAAAAATAATTCTCAAATCCAGCATTTCAAAACTTTGGATTGCAGTTGGGCTTCTCACCTCCACTTTTCACCTGCTGTTTGTTAACATTTGCTCTTTGGATTCACTTTGATTTAAAACAACAACAACAAAGTAGCTTCTAAAGAAATAAACCAATCTTTGAAACACCAGAAATCTCAGGGTAAAATCAGGCCAGATTTCTGGATTCCTTAAAGCGGGGGCGTCCTCACCTTAATGCCCGTCACCTCTTTCCAGACCCAGATGAAGAGGGGCGAGAAGGTGGAGACTACCAGGACGCTGGTGAAGCGGCGTTTAATGACCGCCGGGTGGTCCCTAAAAGAAGGAAAACCTAAGTTTGAAAAAGTGCCCTTCCCAAAAAAAATCTTGCTGCCCCCAGGAAGGAAAAGGGAGGGTGGAATATTATGCAGTGCAGACTTAAAACCGGCTGATGGGTTTGTTTCCCCGTGGCAGAGAAGCTCTCCAAAAGTTTTAACAGTAAACGGAGTCGGAAGGGGACCTTGGAGGTCATCTAGTCCAACCCCCGCCTTTGGGAGACCTGTCCTAGGGAATTCGGAACCGCCGAACTTTTCTGATCGACCAAGCTCAGCGTCTTAGCCACTGAGCCACCTAGCCTTTTGGGGCTTGGATTGGCCTCCCCCCTCCCCAATTTTTGCAAAAAGGGGCTTCAGGATACAATTCCCACCCCCCCCAAAGCATTTCCAGGAGGGAAAAGCTCCCCCCACCCCAGCCTCTTGTAGGGGGATCCAAGCCAGGCTGGAGGGGAGGGGGGGAAGGCCCGCAGGGGGAGGGTCTGCAGCTCTCCCCCCCCCATTCTCCAACCCTCCCTCCCGTTCTCCCCCCCACCTCCCTCCCCGGCCTCACCTGGGCAGGTGGCTCTTCCAGACGTAGAGGCTGCCCACGTAGGAGCAGGCCAAGCCGAGGCAGGAGAAGAGCGAGACCCAGCAGGGCGCCGACCCTCCCCCGGCGCCCTCCGCCGACATCGGGGCGCTGCAGGAGGAAGGCGGCTCAGCCCGGCCGCCCAGGCGAGGCAGGCAAGCGGCGGGCAGGGCCGCGTGGGGAGCCTCCGCCTCCCAAGCGCGGAAGAGGAAGCCGGCCAGCCGAAGGGAAGGAAACGGGCCGGGCTGCCCTGCTGCGGGGATTGCGGCAGAGAGACCCCGGCCCGGGCCAGGAGGGCATCCCGCCGCCCCCTGCCAGCGATTCCCGCCAGGCCAGGCGACCCTCCCCAAATCTCCTCCTCCTCGGCCCACCCACCACCCCTCGCCGATCGGGGGTCGGCAGGTTGGTGGGATGGAACGCCCCCGGCTGGCTCCGCCGTTATGCAACCCGCCCAACGCCGCTTCTCGCCTTTAAGCTTGCAAGGAGTCTCATTGCAGCGGCGCCTTGGCACCGCTAAGGGGCGGTAGCTGCCCGCCTCGGTGGGCCTTGGGGGGAAGCTAAGTGGGGTCGGGTCCGGTTTAGGAGCGGAGGGGCAACGGGAAAGCACCACCTTCCCCTCCATACAGGTAACAAGAGTTGGAAGGGACCTCGGAGGTCATCTAGTCCAACCCCCTGCTCACGCAGGAGACCCTATACTAGAGATTCGAACAGTGGTGAAATCTAAATGCTTTTACTACGGGTTCTGTGAGCGTGGCAGGGGAAAGATACTGCAAAATCTCCATTCCCTCCCCACTCCAGGGGAAAGGATACTGCAAAATCCCCATTCCCTCCCCACTCCAGGGGAAGGATACTGCAAAATCTCCATTCCCACCCCACTCCACTGCAAAATCCCCAATCCCTCCTCACTCCCCACTCCCCAAATACCCACAGGTGGCATTTGCCGGTTCTCCGAACTACTCAAAGTTTCCGCTACCGGTTCTCGAGAAGCTGTCAGAACCTTCTGGATTTCACCCCTGGATTCGAACCGCCAAACTGCCCACCTTTCCGACCAACAAGCTCAGCGTTTTAGCCACTGAGCCACCTAGCCAGCCACTAATTACTAACACAGTTACTAACACAGTTAATAGGCACTAACAGGTAGCCCTCGGCTTACAACGGTTCGTTTAGTGACCCGTCTGAAGTTAGAAGGGCGCTGGAAAAAGTTGACGTAGGACCGTTTTTCACACGACTGTTGCCACATCCCCACGCGCACGCAATTTACATTTGGGTGCTTTGACCACTGACTTGTATTTATGACAGTCGTGGTGTCCCTGGGATCATGCATGATTCCCCTTTTGAGATCTTCTGGCAAGCAAAGTCGACGGGGAAGTCGGATTCGCTTGACAACTCAGTCCCTAACTTAACGACGGCAGGGATTCACTTAACAAATGTGGCGAGAAACGTCGTAAAATGGGGGCAAAACTCACGTAACGAATTTCTCGCTGAGCAACTTAAACTTTGGGCTCAATTGTGGCCGTAAGTTGAGGACTTCTTGTATGTAGAGGAGCTAGTGAAGTTATCGGGAACTGGGCTTGTTTTGGGCTTGGAAGAAATTCTGAGAAATGGCCTCCCTGCAAAAAATCAGGACTAACTGCCTTTCTTGCCTTGGGATCCACTGATGTTTCTCAATCTTGGCCACATTAAGATGGGTGGACTTCAACTCCCAGAATCCCCCAGCCAGCATGCTTTAAGAGGGGTGGACTTCAATTCCCAGAATCCCCCAGCCAGCATGCTTTAAGAGGGGTGGACTTCATTTCCCCAAATGTCTCAAGCAGCATGAGAGTTAAAGTCCACCCATCTTAAAACATATGTTGACAGGGGAATTCTGGGAGTTGAAGTCCACCCCTCTTCAAGTGCCCAAGGTTGAGAAACACTGCTGTAGGGCAAGCATTGTGTTCATTCTTTAGTAGAAGGGACCAAGAGACGGGTAACAACTCTCTTCGTTTATTGCCTTGCCCGAGACACTCCAAAAAAACCTGGGAATTCCGTTAACTGGACAGGAGTGGCCGATTCAGGAGGTCCACTTGGCCATGTTGAAAACCTCCTGAGCCCACAAGTCCTCCTCCTGCAAGACAGAGAAAAAGTCCGAAGAGAAAGCAGCTTTGAATTATGTTTAAAGCAAAGTCATCTGTCAGGCTAAGCCAGACCCAAACCAGGTAACTTTAATAGAATGTAGGAGTTGGAAAAGGACCTTAGAGATTTTCTAGTCTAACCCTCTGTTCAAGCAGGAGATCCTATACCATTTCAGACCAATGGCCATCCAACCTCTTCTTAAACACTTCCAGTGTTGGAGCATTCACAACTTCTGGAGGCAGGTTGTTCCACTGGTCAATTGTTCTCACTATTAGGAAATTTCTCCTTATTTCTATGTTGCTTCTCTCCTTGGTTAATTTCCACCCATCGCTTCTTGTCCTGCTTTCAGGTGCTTTGGAAGATAGCTTGACTCCTTCTTCTTTGGGGCAGCCCCTGAGATATTGGAAGACTGCTCTCATGTCTCCCCTAGTCCTTCTCTTCATTAAACTAGACATACCCAGTTCCTGCAACCGTTCTTCGTATGTTTTAGCCTCCAGTCCCCTAATCCTCTTTCTTGCTCTTCTCTGCACTCTTTCTAAAGTCTCCACATCTTTTTCATATCATGGCAACCCAAAACAGGATGCGATATTCTAATATTTTAAGAATTTCCAGAATTTCCCCAGACAGCATGCTTTAAGATGGGTGGACTTCAACTTCCATGATTCCCAGCCAGCATGGGAATTCTGGGAGTTGAAATCCACCTGTTTTAAAGTGGCTGAGGTGGACAAGCACAGGCCTAAGTCACGTTCTGATGGTCTTGCCAACTAATGGTGGCTCTTAAACCATGGTTTATAGCTGGCTCAGCCGCTTGACTTTTTTTCAGGACATTGCGGGTGAACAAACCACAGCTTAGCGTGATTTAAGTGTAGCTCTCGAATGCCAGGGCTTGTTCATGAATGCAATGTGGTTTTGGCACTAGGCAAAATTGTTTTTCTCAGCATTCTAGAACATTTTGTAACTGGCTGTGATTGTTTTATTATCCTGCTGGATTTCACTGTTGTGCCTTGCTTCTTTATTTAAAATAATGCTTTGGGATTGAACAGAAAGTTGGCACACAGATGTTTGAAATAAAATTAATTTCTTTTAGCGAGGATCCCCGGTGGGCATTCTGGCCTTGAATGCAACATCCAAGGCTGAGCTGGTGAGCCTCCCGTTGCTAAATTCCTCATTTGTGTAGTTTTAGCAACCAGAAAGAGGCTTATTGCTTAACCAGGTTAGTGAAAAACCCGGTATCCCCATTTGCACAACTTGCTAACTAACTTTTAACCTTGTTTTTATTTTTTTCTGCATTTGGCATATTACGTGTGCTAAAATTGGCTGGGTTCAGGTAGTCCTCGAATTAGAACCATTCATTTAGCGACCAAAGTTACAATGGCACTGAAAAAAGTGACTTTAACTGGTCCTCACACTTACGACCATTGTAGCATCCCGATGTCACATGATCAAAATTTGGGAACTTGGCAACTGGCATATATTTAAAAAAAGGTAGCAGCATCCTGCAGTCACGTGATTGCCATTGGTAACCTTCCCAACTGGCTTAGAATACAGAACATAGAACAATAGGGTTGGAAGGAAGGGGTCTTGGGAGGCCTTCTAGTCCATCCCTCTGCTCAACCCCCTTCCAATAAGTAAAGTCGATTGGGGGGGAAGTTGGATTCACATAACAACTGCAGTGATTTGCTTAACAACCATGGGAAAAAAACGGTCATCAATTTGGGCACGAGTCACTTAAAAACCACCTTCCTTAGCCATAGACATTTCTGGTTTCCATTGTGGTTATAAGTTGAGGACTGTGTACAATATTCAAAGATCAGATTCAAACATAAATGAAAATTAAGCAAACCATATCATGACTTAATCTACGTGAATCTGGAAACCCTGTTAATCCATTCATTCAAAGATCTATCTGTCTGTCTGTCTGTCTATCTATCTATCTATCTATCTATCTATCTATCTATCTATCTATCTATCTATCTATCTATCTATCTATCTATCTATCTATCTATCTATCTATCTATCTACCAACCTGACACAGATTTTTGCTCCTTGCAGCTCCGGTGATGCCATCATTTCCTTGACTTTTGTGTGGGAAAATATCCCTCCCACTCTTAGAAGAAGATGAAAAGGAAGAGGTTGAAGTGGCTTCTGGTTTTGTTGGGAGGCTTCCTTTGGGTTCCTTGTTCTTTGCTTCACCGGAGGTGTTAAGGTCGTCTGAATCCTCTTCCGTGGGAATCCTCCTATTTGCTGGTTTTCTCTTCTTTCTCGTGCTTATTTCGTCAAACTCTGAGCTATCAAACCAAAATCCTGCAGGACACAAACTTGGGAGTCACACACATGTGAAATCATACATTGAAATGCAGTCATATATGCAGCACATGCATGTATAGACATGACGCAAAGATCCAAACTGAAAATCACATCAATTCCGTTAAGCATTATAGCTACAGAAGTGGCCAAAATTGTGGAAACTTTTTGGGAAAAGTGTGTTTTCTAAAACTAGCTAATAATACCACTTTTTTGGGGAGTAGTACCATAAAATTATATATCAATGGAAAGATAATTTAATCAAGAATGTAATGCAATAACTTTTATGAAGGATTTGCTATTAGAATAGCAGTTACAGTATAAAGGAGAAAAGTGAAACACGTAGAAAAAACGAGATATACAAAAATGATCACCATAGAAAAAATGAGATATACAAAAATTATCCCCATGTCAATTAATCCTTAGTTGGGTAACCTTTATTTATTATTTTATTTTTATTTATTAGATTTCTATACCGCCCTACTCCCGAAGGACTCAGGGCGGTGCACAGCCAAACAATAAAAACACATACAATACAAAATTTAAAAAATAGAATAAAATCAAATTAAATAATTTTGGCCCCGACAAATTTAAAACCCCAAACTTTTAAAACCAATTTAAAATTGAATATATAAATACTAAAAGATATTTAAAATTTTAAAAATCTTTTATAAAAGAGGGGGAACCTTTAGCATGAATGACGGCCTTACGACGTCTTCCGATGGAGGGAACCAAGTTTTTTAGTTCTGCAGCTGTTATCATGTGAAACCAAGATGGAATGATGGCTTCTATTAACTGGGTTTTATTGCTGGATCGCTTCTGACTAACCAGTTCCTTTAGTCGGCTCCATAGATTTTCAATGGGGTGAAGGTCTGGGCTATCCCCAGGCCATTCCAGCAGTGGAATAGGATGATCTTGAAACTCCAGAAAAAAAGTGGTGTTATTAGCCATCAAACCTCAAAAATACACTTTCCCCAAAAGGTTTCCACAATTTTGGCCACCACTGTAGTCTTTGACTTACAACAATTCATTTAATGACCGTTCGAAGTTACAAAGGCACTGAGAAAAGTGACAATGATCATTTTTCACACAACCATTGAGGCATTCCCATGGTCACATGATCAAAACTCAAGACTATTGGCAACTGACTCATATTGATGATGATTGGAGCATCCTGGAGTCACAGGATCTCCTTTTGCGGCCTTCTGACGAGTAAAATCAATGGGGAACTAGATTCACTTAACAACCAGGTTACCTCGCTTAACAACTGCAGTGATTCACTGCAACAAAGGATTTAAACTGGGGGGAAAGTCCCTTAACAAACGTCTCGCTTAGCCACCGAAACGTTGGGCTCCGTTGTGGTCATAAGTCGAGGACTACCTGCATATCAGGTGGCTGTAGCTAACCTATTTTTTAAAACCCAAAAAATAGTGGGGTTTTTTTTCTTTTTACTTTTGTGAGGCTCAACTTCCTTGCTGAAGCAGATGCACCTGTTTCAAGTGACATTCAGAGCCTGGGAAATGAATTGTTCTCGTTTCTGTTTGTTTTAGAACTCTTACTTTACTTCCTGGCTTAACTTTTTTCCGTGTTTTGAATTTGGATGCATTTTACTGCTGGGAGAGGTCACTGGAGGACAGAATACAATGGATAAAGGAGAAGAGTTCCCTTTTCTCTAACTACTGTAGAAAATTTCACATTTAGCTAGTCGGCGAAATGCTTTCCTTTTTTCCTTTCTGCAAATTGTATACTTTATAGTATACAGGTATTGCTCGGCTTACGACCGCAGTTGAGCCCAAAATTTATGTTGCTAAGTGAAACATTGGTTAAGTGAGTTTTGCCTCATCTTACGTCCTTTCTTGCCACAGTTGTTAAGTGAAACATTGCAGTTCTTCTTTTTTTTTGAATAAGTTTTTTTATTTCTTATTTTTTACAGTGTGTGAACAATGTGGTTCCTGAGTATCATACATTTCGTACAAGAAAATTAATATTAATCATATTTGTTTCATTTAACAAGCTTATATAATACTAGTAATAATACACATCTTTATATTAAATTATAAATGGTAATTCAATACGAATATGCATACGCATGCTAAATGTAACAAATATAATTAATGATATCCCAGCTGTATTATGTAGAATATGGAGATTGATATAAAAACAATATATTGAAATACTGAATAACCAACTAACAAGTTGAATAAGCAATAATGGAAGATCTTAATGTAATATAAATGTTGGTATTAATATTAGTTATATAGGTTTGTTAAATGTAACAAATATGATTGATAATATTTTATTCATATTAAAAGGTATGACAATTAAGTGATTGGTATAAAAATAACGTACTGAAATATTCAATAACCAAACAATGAAAAGATTATAATTTAAACACTGCAGTTGTTAAGTTAGGAACAGCATAACTCTGGAATTGTGTGTTTTCTTAGTTGTGCACACAAAGACACACCTTCTCTCTTGCTGGTTCCTTCCCCTTGCTCTAATCCTGGACAACTAACACAGGAGCACAATGTTTTCTGATGATCGGAGGATGAGGGAGTTTTGGCAGTTAGAGGCCTTGTCTTACACTTTCTAGACAGTGGCTGCAGAAAAAAAACAACAAAGGACACAATTTATATCAACAATACACAAATTATATAGAATGCTTGTAATTCTCCAGCCCAGGGAAAATTGTCATGGAAAGATTTTGGAATGGTTTTGGTACAAAATCATCCTTCCAATGAAGCTGCATCTTTGCATTATATTATTTTTATAAGACATAAAATGAAGGCTACACGTGTTATTAACCCAGGTAATATGAGCCTGGTCACTGCAGAGCACTCACCAATGGAGAGTGAAAATATTTCACTGATATAATTTTCTGAAAGAGATCTTAGCTGGATATTGGAATATAAGTAATCCTCAATTTACAACTGACCAGTCAAAGTTACAACAGCCCTGAAAAAACTGACTTATCATTGGGGAAAGGTAAAGGTTCCCCTCGCACATATGGGCTAGTCGTTCCCGACTCTAGGGGGCGGTGCTCATCTCCGTTTCAAAGCCGAAGAGCCAGCGCTGTCCGAAGACGTCTCCGTGGTCATGTGGCTGGCATGACTCAACGCCAAAGGCGCATGGAACGCTGTTCCCTTCCCACCAAAGATGGTCCCTATTTTTCTACTTGCATTTTTTTTACCTGCTTTCGAACTGCTAGGTTGGCAGAAGCTGGGACAAGTCATGGGAGCTCACCCTGTTACGCGTCAGCACTAGGGATTCAAACTGCTGTGATTGACAAGCTCAGCATCTTAGCCATTGAGCCACCACATCCCTCTATGATTACAATTTGGCAACCAGCATTTATTTACCATGATTGCAGCATCCCCAAGTCATGTGATTGACTTTTGTGATGGCCAATAAAGAATAAGAAATAAAGAATTCATCATCTATCTATCTATCTATCTATCTATCTATCTATCTATCTATCTATTATCTATCTATCTATCTATCTATCTATCTATCTATCTATCTATCTATCATCTATATCTATCTAATCTATCATCTATCTATCCATCATCTATCTATCTTCTATCTATCATCTCTCTCTCTCATCTATATCTCTCATCTATATCTATCTATCTATCTATCTATCCATCATCTATCTGTCTGTCTGTCTGCCTATCTTATCTGTCTATCCATCCATCCATCCATCTTATATCTTTTTTGTGACCTTCCCAGCAACTTCCCACAAGCAAAATCAAGGAGGGGGGAGGGTAAGCTGAATTCATTTAACAACCGCATGATTCATTTAACAACTGCCGTGAATGACTTAACAACCGTGGCCAAAAAAAGTTGCAAAATCAGGCGTGACTCACTGAACCGCCTTGCTTAACAACAGAAAGTCTGGTCCCAATATGGGATCCTAAATTGAGGGCTGTTTTTGAGGCTTCTGTGTTGCCAGACTATCTGTAAGCCTTCGCAGTAATTGACTGAGCCTTCGTTCTCTTAAGAGCGAGGACCGGAGTGGTGCTGAACAACGATGAGGAAAACAGGAGGAAGGGAGGAAGTATGTTTAAGATAATGTTTACTTTTTTGATCTCACAGGCGTTATTGGGCTTCCATTGCTTGAGAATGACTTTGTTAAAAGTTTCTCTGATGGTTTCCTGGAATTCTTGAGTGTCTGCCACCTGGAGAGAGAACGAAAGAGATTCTTTTAACACAAGGATGGGCAACCACGACCCCTTTCACGACCTGTGGACTTCAACTCCCAGAACTGAACCATGCTGGCTCGGGGATTCTGGGAGTTGAAGTTCACAGTGTCGGGCCTGGAAGTCATCTTTTGCATTGGATTTTCAGGCCTGCCACATTTACTGTTGTGGGAAACTGGGAGGGGGGATTGTATGGAGCCAGGGTGATATATATAGTCAAAACAACATTCCTTTCTCAGAGAGTCAAGGACATCTTGCCCTGCACCTGGACGGTTGGAGCTGAGAGGTATCTCCAGTTGGGACGGTGGTTTGATTGGACCATGTGATGGACATGAGGGTGCTGGGCAGGGACTTGGACTTTCCTTTGGGTGGGGAAAACCTGGAAGCTTTCAGATTCGGCTTTTCCCAGACGTGCCGATATGTCATCTCTAATAAAATGGAACTTTGAGGAAACTCAAACCTCGGAGTCTTCTTTCGTTGGGGGTGTTACTTGGAATCCTGACACACAGGTCATAAAGCGGACCATAGTTGCCCACTCCTGTTTTAACACAATGCATGTGTAGCTTTAATTCTCTATGGCAGGGGTGGGCAACTGTGGCCCTTTTACAACCTGTGGACTTCAACTCCCAGAATTCCTGAGACAGCCAACCTGTCTCAGGAATTCTGGGAGTTGAAGTCCACAGGTTGTAAAAGGGCCACAATTGCCCACCCCTGCTCTATGGCATTACATGTAATTCTTGACTTACAGCCACAATGGAGCCCCAGATTCCCGTTGCTAAGCAAGAGAGTGAATTTTTTGCCCCATTTTATCACCTTTCTTGCCACAGCTGTTAAGTGAATCTCTGCAGTTGTTAAGTTAATAACCCGGTCGTTCAGTGAATCTGACTTCCCCATTGACTTGGCTCGTCAGAAAGTCACAAAAGAGGATCACGTAACCCAGGGACGCTGCAATGGTCATAAATACGAGCCAGTTGTCCAGTGTCTGAATTTTGATCACCTGACCCTGGGGATGTGAAAAACGATCCTAGGTCACTTTTTATCAGTGCTGTCGTAACTTTGAATGGTCACTAAGTGAACTGTTGGAAGTCGAAGGGCTACCTGTATTTCTAATGAAAATGTGAGATAAGAGTTTAAGGCTACTCTTAAGTTAGTAGTTTGGAAGTTGCTTAATTTAATGTCCTCATCGTGGCCAGGCACGGACAATTCCTGATCCTACACAACCTTTTTCAACCCAGTTGTTAATTTAAAGAATGCCCTGCTTTTAATTCAAAGAATGGAGGCCTTTGAACTCTGGTGCTGGAGAAGACTCCTGCGAGTCCCTTGGACTGCAAGGCGATCAAACCAGTCAGTCCGAGAGGAGATCAACCCTGACTGCTCTTGAGAAGGCCAGATCCTGAAGAGGAAACTCAAATCCTTTGGCCACCGAATGAGAAGGAAGGAAGGACTCCCTGGAGAAGAGCCCAATGCTGGGAACGATGGAGGGCAAAAGAAGAAGAAGGGGACGGCAGAGAACAAGTCACTGAAGCAGTTGGCGGGAGCTTAAATGGACTCCGGAGGATGGTAGAGGACAGGAAGGCCTGGAGGAACATGGTCCATGGGGTCACGATGGGTCGGACACGACTTTGCAACTAACAACAACTGGTTTTAACACAACTTGGCAGTACCTGCAAGCTGTGGAGACACTTCCTTCGGAAGTCACCGTCGGTGCTGCTCGAGACTATTCTGGAAATGGCAGATGCCATGATGGGTAAAGAACATGCCAGCTTCTGCTGCTCCTGAGGAGAACAAGGAGCCCTGCCTAGTGGTCACAGCCTCAAAACAAACTACCCGAATGTCTTCCTTCTATCCTTACAGTGGACGGAATAATTGTGCTACGGATTTTATTGTGGGTTTCCCCCCCCCCCCCATCAGATTTGGAAATTGCCCGTCTCCTTCACAGAAGGACTCTGGCCAGTGTGTGTACGAATAAAATATTAAAAGGTAGAAACTGTCAGGGATGGTTACATGTCTGTCAAGGGCAGCTAACCAGGTAGCAAGCGGTTCAAATTGAATTCAGGCGGTCTTCAAGTTATGACCACAATTGAGCCGCAAATTTATGTTGTTAAATGAAACATTTGTTAAGTGACCTTTGCCCCATTTTACAACCTTTTTGGCTATTCTGTTCTGTTCTGTTCTATTCTATAGATAGATAGATAGATAGATAGATAGATAGATAGATAGATAGATAAGATAGATAGAAATTTTTTATTGGCCAAGTGTGATTGGACAGACAAGGAATTTATCTTCGGTGCATAAACTCTCAGTGTACGTAAAAAGAAAAGATAAGTTCGTCAAGAATCATAAGGAACATTTTCCTTATGACTAAACAATTTATGACTCACACCCTGGACATAAACAATGTATGTCCAGGGTGTGATGGGTCTGTAAATATATTCTATTCTATTCTATTCTATTCTATTCTATTCTATTCTATTCTATTCTATTCTATTCTATTCTATTCTATTTATTCCATTCCATTCCATTCCATTCCTTCTCCTATTCTATTTATTCTACTCTACTCTACTCTACTCTACTCTACTACTCTACTCTACTCTACTCTACTCCACTCACTCCTATTCCTCCACTCCACCCATTCTTATTTATTCTATTCTATTCTATTCTATTCTATTCTATTCTATTCCATTCTATATTCTATTCCTATTCTATTCTATTCTATTCTATTCTATTCTATTCTATTCTATTCTATTCTATTCTATTCTATTCTATTCTATTCTTTCCATTCCATTCCATTCATTCCATTCCATTCCACATTCCACTCCACTCCACTCCACTATTCCATCCCATATTCCATTCCATTCCATTCCATCCCATTCTTATTCTATTCTATTCCTACTCCTACTCTACTCTTCTCTAAGCTGTCCAGAGTCACTATGAGTGAATTGGGCAGCTATGTCAATTTTCTAAACAAACAAACTAACTAACAAACAAATTCTTCCTTCTTTCTACAGTCCCAAGCCTTGCCTTCAACCATCCCGGCCTTTTGCCATGAGCTTCGCACCTGGAATAGTCTGTAGTGTTGATGCAGGACATCATTCACCAGTTCTTGGGTAGCCCTTTTCACAGCCTGCTCGCTGCAGAAGAGGATAGCCGAGAGACGGGACAGAACCACCTGCCGGTTCCCTGCAGCACACCAAGAGAGAAGGGGACAAAGGATGACATCCACAGGTAAAGCACACAAATGCACAACTTCGTGTAAGAGGGATGAATGGGTGAGGATGTTTCTAGCTTGTGAATATGGGGGGGAGAAATGGGAAGACTAAACATTTGGTCCCAGTGACCAACCCAGATTGGATCTTGCAACAAAATTCCCTTCAGTTTCAGAGAATTATAAATTATTGGCTGGATTATCCCCATGCAGTTTGTCTTTTGCAAATTCACTCCTGGTACAACTGATTCACTCGTGAAATTTCCTGGCAGTCAGAACAATTCATCAGTGGAACAGTTTGCCACCAGAAATTGTGGCTGTTCCAACACTGGAAATTTTAAAGAAGATACCATTTTTCTGAAATGTCTAAGCAGGGGGTTGGACTAGAAGACCTCCAAGGTCCCTTCCAACTCTTCTCTTCTCTTCTCTTCTCTTCTCTTCTCTTCTCTTCTCTTCTATTTCTATTTCTATTCGTAGTCCTTGATTTACAACTGTTCATTTAGTGACCGTTTGAAGTTACAATGGAGTGACTTATGACCGTTTTTCACACTTATGAGCACTGCAGCATCTCCATGGTCCCATGATCAAAATTCAGGCACTTGGCAACTGATTCATATTTAGGGGTCATGTGATCCCCTTCTGCAAACTTCTGACAAGCAAACTCCATGGAAAAGCCAGATTCACTTAGCAACCTGTGGCAACTAACTTAACAACTTGTGTGATTCACTTAACAAACTGTGGCAAGAAAGGTGGTAAAATGGGGCAACATTCACTTAACGTCTCTTTGAGCAGCAGAAATGGCGGCCTCACTTGCAATTGTAAATCGAGGACTAACCTGTATTTTGAAACACGTGATTTTTATGGCTTAGCCATATTGTGAGCCAGACACTGTGGCTTATTTAATAAACTGTAGTTAAAACCAGCAATGTCCTAATGCTCCAAGGTGCACCCTTACACTTCTTTTGCTGTTTAAACTAAGCTATTCACTGGGAGAAAAGCCAAATAATTCTCTGGCAATTGACTTCTTAGAGGCTTCAAGAATAGCTTCAAGAATAAATGTCTTTAAAAACACATCTGTGCTGCATTTGTATTTTTAGCGGAGGGTAATATGATCCTAAAGACAGATGGGAGGTTAAGCGAAGTTATTCAGAGTCCCTCTGATTTCGCAGGGAGTTTTCTTATCCTAATTTCATATATTCTTGATTAGCTTCGGGGCCAAAGGTTTATTTCGTAGCTGCCAGTGTCATAAACTCCTTGTATTCAACTCCTTAGTGCCCCTAACCCAGTGGTGGGTTGCCCCCGGTTCGCACCGATTCTATAGAACCGGTAGTAAAACTGGCGGGAGGCTCCGCCCACTGACCCTGATGTCATCAAAACGCTTCTGCGCGCACGGCCCCTTTGCGAACCGGTAGCAAAGGTAAGTAGAACCCACCCCTGCCCCAACCCCAACCCCTGATCTAAGCAGATATATATGTGCATGTGGATATATCTATATCTATATCTATATCTATATCTATATCTATATCTATATCTATATCTATATCTATATCTATATCTATATCTATATCTATATCTATATATGCACACGGATGTGGATACATCTATATTTATATGTACAGAAAGTGAAAATTGGCTTGTCCTGAAACGGATCGGTATAACCAAGAAAAAGGAAGAGCAGCAGTGTCTGTTCTTGAGTCTCTGAATCCTGCTGGTGGCTGGTATGAAGGTTAAATTGGATTTCAGGTCTCACTGTATCTAAGAGACAAAATACATTGATTGATTGATTGATACATTGCATTGTTTCTTATTTCAGGCATATAATCAAAGAAGATTCAGTGGTGATATCTAAGGAACTGGTGATCATCATCGTCTTTTAACGATCCCATAATACCTTGCGGGGTGGAATCTGGGCAACTGAATGGAGCTAGGAAGTATTTAGTGACCAGATGCCCTTCCTGTCACCACTGAGGAGTTTTGTTCAGCAGATAATATTCTCATTGACCTCAAGTGAGAGAAATATCCGCCTCTACCAAGATCGAACTCACAGCCTCCTGATTGTGAGGGGAGAGCTCCACCTCTAGGCTAGGTACAACTCATCATTATTTTTTAATGACCCCATAATCCCTCGTGGGGTGGAGTCTGGGCAACTGAATGGAGCTAGCAAAGTATTTAGTGGCCAGATGCCCTTCCTGTTGCCAATGAGGAATTTTGTTCAGCAGATAATATTCTCACTGAGCCCAAGAGAGAGAAATATCCGCCTCTACCGAGGATCAAACTCACAGCCTCCTGATTGTGAGGTGAGAGCTTGACCTCTAGGCCACTGCACTACTCTCTCTCTATATATATAATTTTGTTGCATGATCCAATATATATACGGTATATACAGATTGGATCATGCAACAAAATTCCCTTCCGTTCCAGAGAATTACAGTTTATTGGCTGGATTACCCCATGCAGTTTGCCTTTGTGAACTCGCTCCTGATAAAAATAGTCCTTGACTTACAACGGTTCATATAGTGACCAAAGTTACAATGGCACTGAAATAAGTGACATGACCGCTTTTCACATGACCATTGCAGCATCCCCAGGGTCACGTGATCAAAATTCAGGCGCTTGGCAACTGACTCATATTTATGACGGTTGCAGTGTTCCAGGGTCACGTGATTCCCCTTTTGCGACCTTCCGACAAGCAAAGTCAATGGCGAAGCCAGCTTCGCTCAACAACCGGGTTGCTAACTTATCAAACTGCAGTGATTCACTTAACAATAGTGGTGAGAAAAGTCATAAAATGGGAGAAAACTCACCTAACAAATGTCTCACTCAACAGCATAAATTTTGGGCTCTATTGTGGTTGAAAGTTGAAGGCTACCTGTATATACATACCTTGTTTCCCCGAAAATAAGACCCAACCGGAAAATAAGCCCTAGCATGATTTTTTCAGGATGCTCGTAATATAAGCCCTACCCCCAAAATAAGCCCTAGTTAAGATCATCAGCCAGATGGATGCATTTAGTACGTATTTCCCCCAAAATAAGACCTAACCAGAAAATAAGCCCTAATGCATCTTTTGGAGCAAAAATTAATATAAGACCCGGTCTTATTTTCGGGGAAACACTGTAGATACATACATACATACTCAAAACTGCACTGGCTCCCGGTGGTCTTCTGGGTGCGCTTCAAGGTTTTGGTTACCACCTTTAGAGCGCTCCATGGCTTAGGACCGGGACCGGGGTATCTACGAGACCGCCTTCTGCCACCAGTAGCCTCTCACCGACCAGTCCGCTCCCACAGAGAGGGGCTTCTTAGGGTGCCGTCGGTCAAACAGTGTCGACTGGCGGCCCCCAGGGGGAGAGCCTTCTCTGTGGGGGCACCCACCATCTGGAACGAGCTCCCCCGGAGATACGGAGGATCCCGGATCTGCGCGCTTTCCGCCGTGCCCTCAAAACATTCCTATTCCAGCAGGCCAGCCTGGCCTAACCTCTCTTTTAAACTGTTTTTAAATTTTTTAAATTTTAAATTTGTCTTGTAAATGTGGGGTTTTTTAAATTTTGTTCTCTGGGCCAATTTATTTAATTGTATTTTAATGGTTTTTTAACATTTGTATTATATGTATTTTATCTTTTGGCTGTTCACCGCCCTGAGTCCTTCGGGAGTAGGGCGGTATACAAATTCAATTAATAATAATAATAATAATAATAATAATAATAATAATAATAATAATAAAAAAGCATTTCAAGATTAGGTCTGCAGAGCCATCCTCTGAGGAGTTTTCTGAACCATAAACCAGAGTTGCACAACAGATGGTTAGTGGATTCAGTTCAGTTGTGATGCTCTGTGGGGTGTGTGTGTGTGTGAGCTCCCTGTCACTTTACACCCCATGTGCATTGTGCAGAATTCTCATAAGGATAAATGTGGCAGGCCACCAGAACAGTATTTTATTTCGCTGAAAATAAACATGTCAGATCACCGTTTTATTTTCAGGTCCGCCTGGCTGCTCCTGAGATTGTTCCCTGAAAAACTGCACGTGCCCTTCATTCTTAAAACAGCTTTTCCCACGTTCAGACTGGATAACCGAAAACGAGCGTAGTGCGGATGAAACATATACACCGGTTTACCTGTTTTGCAATATGCCGCTGAATTTAGTGTGGCCTGGTAGGCGTATTTGCCCCATGAGGCTAAGCGTGAAGGATCTTCAAAGAAAGAATACGAGACCTCCTCTGCAGAAAACAATGTGGGCAGTCCAGCTGGATCGTAAAGAAATATATATATGGTTGGCTAGGGAAAAAAAAAAACTAATCAGAAGGTCAATGAAGGGTGACCGCCATGGAGTGCTAAGTTTGATGTAAAAAACTTGCGATCAGTTTTGCACGAGTGCAATGCTGCTTTTCTTTCTTTAAATTAATCCAATCTTGAGACAATAGCAAATCTCACTATAACTATAAATATTTATATATATAGTCAGTGGTGGGTTTCAAATTTTTTTACTACCGGTTCTGTTGGTGTGGCGTGGCAGAGGAAGGATGCTGTAACTGTAAACTGCTTGGAAAGGGCTGTAAAAGCACTATGAAGTGGTATATAAGTCTAAGTGCTATTGCTATTTGTAATCTGCTGGTCACGGTTAAGAACAGCCAATTTCAACCTGCCAAGGAAGCTCATCGGTAGATTAATTTAGGGACGATTGTTGGTCAGTATCTCTTTATACAGTATAGAATTTAGCCTCGAAAGCCGAAGTGAGTTGAACTATCTGACAATTATATATTAACAGTTCAATCTTATGTCTGGTCAGATTAAGTAGCATCAAGATTGGTATGGCCTATTTAATAAATTATCTTGCTTTTATTATTTTTATAAATAACTCAAGGCGGTGAACATGCCTTCCTCTTCCTAATTTCCCCATAACAACAACAATCAGTAGTGAGTTTCATTTATCTTAGCTACCGGTTCGGAACTGTGAGCAGGCATGCGCAGAGCGTCCGTGATGACATCTGGGCAGGTGGGTGGAGCCTCCTGCCACCGCTACCGGTTCGCAACTGACAACAACCCTGTGAGGTAGGTTGGGTTAAGAGAGAGGGATTTGCTCAAACTCACCCAATCATGTTTGTCATGCCTAAGGCAAGGCTAGAACTCACCGTCTCTTGATGATTGGCCCAAAGTCACCCTGTCGGCTTTCATGCCCAAGGCAGGATTAGAATTCAGTCTCCTAGTTTCTAGTCTGATGCCTTAACCACTAGACCAAACTGGATCAAGATAATATAGGCTACATATAGGGTACACTCTTAGACTCCCTGAAAATAAGCTTTTGCGTATTTAATTCAACAAGACATACTACTGAGTAGAAAAAATTTCTCCAAATATTTAAGGGGAATGCATTCAACTGGAAGAAATATGGAGGTGTCTCCATGGCTGGCTCCCTCAAATTTGGGAGATGGAAACACACAAGATTTGCCAAAGATGGATACCTTTGCTTTAAAATATTTCAAAAATTCACGTGGCTACATCTGTTTTAGTTCAAACCATTTTCTTAGCCAAATAACTCCCGCTTTATAGTTTGCAAGCCCAGCCCAACTGCAGGTTAAAGCATCCCTTGATTCTCTTTCATTGATCACTAATCACAGGAAAGGATACGGAGACAGCAATGATCTTCGCAGGTTGGTTAGGAAAAGATTTCTGGCAGGGACACAGGGATGTAGCAGGTATGAGGCTCAGTGCACCTGTGAAACCTCTTTCTACTAATTCATCTGGGATGAACAGATTGACTCGTTCACCGGTCACAAGGTGGATTTTATCACAGGATGGGATTACAGCCCTGAATTCTGACCTGGGAGAGGGAGAGAGAAAGAAAGGAGGAGGGAGGGAGGAAGGGAAGGAGAGAGATGAGAGCGAGAGAGGGAAGGGAGGGAGGGAGGGAGGAGGAGGAGCAGAAGGGAAGGGAAAGAGGAGGGGAGGAAGGAAGATGAGAGCGAAGGAAGGAAGGAAGGAAGGAAGGAGTGGGGTTAATTGGAGATGGAAAACAGAAGGAAATAAATTATAAATAAATAACAGATTAGTGAAAGATCAGCCTTTTGTAATCTAATCCTTTTCACATATGTTGGGAAGCATCAGATTTGGAGACCCATTGCCCATCATATTTAGGGTGACACGTTGAGAGATGAAGTTCACTCACACAATTTTCAGTTTACATTTTTAAAAAATCAAGCTGTTAACAGTAGCAAACCCTTCACAGATAAATGTGGATTAATTCCTGTGTAGAACAGATTCAGCTACCAGAACAATTTTTTTTTAAAAAAAAAATCTTGATTGTATGTTAATTGAATAATTAATAGGAGATGAAAGATTGTAAAAGAGAACTGGGAGAACAAAAAAAGAAAGCATTAGACAGCAAGAAAAGGCAGTCATTTGTTTTATTTCAGTGCACTAACCGCTCAAAACTATTCTGCAGCACAGTGGCATAGAAAAGTCAGCATTTTAAAATTACGTTTTTATTTAAGCATCTCGTATTTTTGTTAAAATGCACAGCTTGGTTTATAGCATCGTGAAAGCATAATTTTCAAGGGTAAAATTGTGCAAGAATCAAACTTTTAAAAAAAGAGTAGCAAATGAACAGCCAACACAGAATGTTTTTCCCCACAGTCTCAGTTCCATAGACCTCAAGATTCCCAAAGGAGAATGTCCTTTACCAGGTGTCAAAATATTAAGAAAAAACTTTGTGCAAGCAAATTTCAAGATTCTTCTCTATGCTAAAGTCCCCTAGAGTTGACTTACTTATTTCAATTTATAGCCAGCCTTTCCACCCATATGGCATGCAAGTTCTTAATTAACAGACTAGCCCAGTGACGGTTAATTTTTTCGGCACCCAGTGTCGAAACTGGACCGTGCGTGTGCCGGAGCTCCGGAACCTGGAAGGAAGCAGCTGGCCGGTGTGCATGCATGCGACGGAACCCGGAAGAGCAGCTGGTGATGGCATGTGTGCCCACAGAGTGCGTACGTGCCACCTCTGCAGTGGTGGGTTTCAACATTTTTTACTACCGGTTCTGTGGGCGTGGCTTGGTGGGCATGGCAGGGGAAGGATACTGTAAAATCTCCATTTCTTCCCGATCAGCTGGGACTCGGGAGGCAGAGAATAGATGTGGGCGGGGCCAGTCAGAATTTTTACTACCGGTTCTCCGAACTACTCAAAATTTCCGCTGCCGGTTCTCCAGAACTGGTCAGAACCTGCTGAAACCCAGCTCTGCACCTCTGCCATGCGTGCCATAGGTTCGTCATCATGTGACTAGGCTGATGGTATATAAAAATGCACAACTATCCAGTACATCAAAACTGTTATAGTGTCTTCTGCCTGAGCAAGGGGTTGGACTTGCTCAGGCAGAAGACACTACAGGTGGCCAAAGGATTTGAGTTTCCTCTTCAGGATCTGGCCTTCTAGAGAGCAGTCAGGGTTGATCTCCTCTAGGACCGACCGGTTGGATGGCCTTGCAGTCCAAGGGACTCTCGCAGGAGTCTTCTCCAGCACCAGAGTTCAAAGGCCTCCATTCTTTGGCCTTCTCAGCCTTCCTTATGGTCCAACCTTCCCAGCCATCCATTGCAACTGGGAAAACCATCGCCTTGGCTATACGCACTTTTGTTGGCCAGGTGATGTCTCTGCTTTTTAGTACGCTGTCTAGATTTGCCATGGCTTTCCTCCCCAGGAAAAAATACTGTCCAACAAACCTTTGCTTCCACAACCACCAGGGGGCAGTGCAGTCTAGGAAACTCCCTTTTAAATGTTTTCAAACCCTTGCAAGTCCCGATTTCTGCAGCTATAGGTGGTCCTTGATTTACAACCACAATTGATGCCAAAATTATTGTTGCTAAGCGAGACAGTTGTTAAGTGAGTTTTGCCCCATTTTACCACAATTTCCATGCCACAATTGTTAACTTAGTAACAGGGTTGTGAAGTGAATCTGGCTTCCCCCACTGACTTTGCTTTTTGGGAGGTGGCAAAAGGGGATCGCATGACCTCGGGACACTGCGACTGTCATAAATGTGAGTCAGGCATCCGAAGGTAAACCACGTGACCATGGGGATACTGCAATGATTGTGTGAAAAACGGTCATAAGTCACTTTTTTCCAGTGCCGTTGTAACTTGGAACAGTCACTAAATGAATGGTTGTAACTCAAGGACTACCTGTAGATGAGGTTGGATGTAGCCAGCTATTGAGTCCTGTGGAAAAGTGTGGATTGTCATAGCGACAAGTTAATTTATTTGTCTACACGATAACTAGGAATCGGCCTCCAAACGATGGCAAACTAATTAATCTGGCTGGTTTAGGGCTTTACAGGATGCATAAACCCATCTTATTTTGATTAAGGACTACCAAACTTCAAATTAATTAGACTTTCTCAAACTAGATCATCTACATCTTGGCAAAAACAATATTCCCCCAGCTATACAGAATCTAGAAACAAATGCTGGGCACCGTTTCCACAATCTGGTTTTAAGAATGACCTTGTATTTTATAACCCCTCTATCAGATAATCAGCCTCTGGAGGAGAAATTCTTTCCCCCAATTGCTTACCTTATAAAATGTCTCCCATCACTAAGTAACGTGGTTCCATCTGGCAAACATGTGCTGACTTTCCCTTCTGGGCTGAAGCACAGAAGGAGATGTTGAAAAGTCACCGCATTTATCATAATTATAAATGAGAACACCAATTAAACAACAAGGCAGACCCATTATATTATTTCCTTGAATTCACTGCATTTCCAGTTACTATTGCAATCAAAAGTTTACATATCACGGGTTCATGTGGTGCTAACTTAATGTTTGGGTGTAAATCTGCCCAATTGGGTCTTACGTAACAAGCCATGGTCAAACAAACCATGGTTTAGTTCAATGTTCAGTTTAGGCAAAAGGAACTATTGAAAACATGCCCAACGCATGAATATGCAGAGGTAGAGTAGTATAGAAAGGTAGTCCTTGATGTATGACCACAATTTTGATCATGTGACTATGGGGATACTGCAGCAGTCGTAAGTGTGAAAAGTGGTCATAAGTCAGATTTTTCAGCGCTGTTGTATCTTTGAACAGTCACTAAGTGGATATTGTAAATTGAGGTCTACTTTTTTTTTTTGTCTTATAATGACCCCATAATCCCTGGCATCGGGGTGGAGTCGGGGCAACTGAATGGAGCTGAGTGTTTACTGACCGGATGCCCTTCCTGTCACCAATGCAGAGTTCGCAGCTGATATTTACTCATTGCGCCCAGAGAGAAGAATATCAGCCGCTATCTAGGATCGAACTCACAGCCTCCTGATTGTGAGGCGGGAGCTCCGCCTCTAGGCCACTGCACCACGCCTAAGTTGAGGACTACTTCTATCTGTAAAATCCAAGGAGAAACGTGTTGCAGTTAAATCCATGGGCATTTTTAATCTATAGATGTAAAATACCCACTGCATTGGCCTTCGATGCTGTCAACCGGGCTGTTTTCAAAGGATTTATGTTGGAGATAAATGCCCACCACAAATCTTGAGAGAACAGATGGTTCCCTGCCAGTTATTCTCTTTAGGTGATGCACTTCCTGTTTCTTCTTTTTAATTATGCATTAAGTGGCCCTGCTAATGCTAGCAGATGTTCAATGATTGAAATCTCTGTCAGTTTCCCAGAAGGAATACAAGGTTACCACTGGTTCACCCACCAGATAGAGACCTCCTTAATAAGTGGCTGGGCTTTAACACAGCAGAATTGAGCTCTAAATAGCGGCTGCACTAGTCTGTCAGCATTTAACAACTGATTCATGACAATTTGGAGGTTGTAGTGAGCTGGAAAAAGGGAGAATCTTTTGCTCCGGAACTTGAGAGTAAAACTCTTACTTAGCATTGGGACACATTTTACCTCTAAGGGGAACAGGTTATATACAGTAGTCCTCAATTTACAACCATTCATTCAGCGATTATTCAAAGTTACGAAGACATTGGAAAAAGTTCTCACAGCTATGACTGTTACACTAGGGTCACAGGATCGAAATTCAGGCGCTTGGCAACTGGCATGAAGTTACAATGGTTCTTGCGGGGTCACACGATATATATAAGCCATTTACTTAGTATCTATGGAGATTCTCAGTCATTCAGGTCATGGTTGCCCCAAAGATGCATTGTATTTTTTTTCCCCCCAAGAGGCAATTGGACTTTCTGGTTTTTCTTTGAAGACATTTCACTTCTCACCCAAGAAGCTTCTTCAGCTCACCAATCCAGTCAGATCTGAAGAAGCTTCTTAGATGAGAAGCGAAACGTCTTCAAAGAAAAACCAGAAAGTCCAATTGCCTCTTGGGGGAAAAAAAAAAAAGCACCTTTAAGCCATTTACAGTAGTGGCCAAAATTGTGGAAATCTTTTGGGAAAAGTGTATTTTTGAAGTTTGATAGCTAATAACACCACTTTTTTTGGGAAGTTTCAAGATAATCCTATTCAACTGCTGGAATGGCCTGGGAATAGCCCAGACCGTAACCCAATTGAAACTCTATGGAGCCGACGAAAGAAACTTGTTAGTCAGAAGCGACCCAGCAATAAAACCCAGTTAATAGAAGCCATCATTCCATCTTGGTTTCACTTTAGAACAGCCGCAAAACTCAAAGACTTGGTTCACTCCATGGGAAGACATCATAAGGCCGTAATTCATGCTAAAGGTTACCCAGCTAAGTATTAACTGACATGGGGATAATTCTCGTTTTTTCTATGGTGAGCATTTTTGTATATCTCGATTTTTTTACGTGTTTTACTTTTCTTCTTTATAACTGCTATTCTAATAGCAAATCCTTCATAAAAGTTATTGCATTACATTCTTGATTAAATTATCTTTCCATTGATATATAATTTTATAGTACTACTCCAAGAAAAAGTGGTGTTATTAGCTAGTTTTAGAAAATACACTTTTCCCAAAAGGTTTCCACAGTTTTGGCCACTGTACTTAATTACTTACTTATTTATTTATAAAATTTATTGGCTGTCCATCTTACCATAAGGTAACTCTGTGCGGCTTACAGACATAAAAAAATACATCTACATTAAAACTTGAATATATGGAGATTCAAATCAAGGGCACGTGGAGAGGATGCAAGTGGAATGGGGGTGGGAGGGTGGGATCTGTTGTCACTCGATCGATCACCTCCACTGTACTGTTCCCCATTGGGGCCCCAGGCCAATTGGCAGATCCAGGATTTTTAGGCCCTCACGAAAGACTAGGAGAGTTGCAACCTTCTCAGCCAGCTTCTGACAAGCCAAGTCAATTCCGACCACAATCGAGATCACAATTTCTATCATTAAGCAAAATGGTTGTTAAATATGTTGCATCCAATTTTATGGACTTTTTTTGATACTAAGACAAAAATCTTAGAAAAAAACAAAGAGATGGATTCAACCCCACTTTCCCCCCAAAAAAACTCATGATTAAGAATGTTCCAGAACCACAGAATGCTGAAGTATACTGTAGCTGGAAAGGAAAATGGATAGACAGATAGGAATCAATTGTTCTGTTTAATCTCATAGCTCCAGTCAGAATCTGGCTTACTAGAGTTCCAGATGGAACATTTTTTACAAAGGTACTTCTTTTTTTTTAAAAAAAAAGATATAGGTTACTATAAGTCCCACTTCTTAAATCAAATAATGTTGATGTTGTATTTAATAATAGTCAAGGTTACCACGAAGAACAAATGTTTTAAGGGACTGCCAAAGTTACAGAGGAGAGATACATTTTATCATGTCTCTTTCCCCAAACCTGGAATTAAATTCCTTCTGTTCCTGTTGTTTTAAGCAGTGTTTAACGATTGTCTTTTCGTATCAAGTCTTTGAACAATATATATTTATTTGTATGGTTTAATTATACAGTCTACAGCTGCCAGTATAACTTTGTAGATGTTTACTTACCTGTATGTCTCAGCAGAGATTTTGCCGTTAACTTTTACACAGTAATGGAACTTGATCTATAAAAGCAGAGTGGCACAAAATAAGAAATATAGAAAGTGACCATAATAGGGGAAACACAGTCTTCATATTGGTATCACTTTGTATAGGTAATCCTCGGTTTACGACCACATTTGGGACCAGAATTTCCATTGCTAAACAAGGGACCTGAAATTACAACCTTTTTTTTGTGTCTGGGTTCTTAAGCAAATCACTGCTTAAATGAAGCATGTGGTCGTTAAATGAATCCACCTTCTCTCATTGATTTTGGTTGTCTGATGGGAAAGTCACAAATGGCGATCAGGCGATTGCAATCTTCATAAATACATTCCCCCCAAAGGGAAACTATGATGGTCGTTAAGTGTGAGGACTGGCCCCAAATAACTTTTTTCAGTGTCTTTGTAACTTCAGACAGTTGCCAAATGTATGGTTGTAGGTCAAGGACTACTTGTATTGCACAGTGACTGTTTTATTATTTAGGATTTATTATTTAAATCATTTATTATTGTTGAATTTATTATTTAGGATTTAAGGCAGAAAACCTTCCCAAGCGCACCTGGAGACAGCAGGGACTGAACTTTGCACAGAAACTATTCAGCTGTTACCTCAAATGACGTGGGTCTGTATCAGTGGTGGGTTTGAAATTTTTTTACTACCGGTTCTGTGGGTGTGGCTTGCTGGGCATGGCAGGAGAAGGATACTGTAAAATCTCCATTCCCACCCCAATCCAGGGGAAGGATATTGCAAAATCCCCATTTCCTCCCGATCAGCTGGGACTCGGGAGGCAGAGAATAGATGGGGATGGGGCCAGTCAGAATTTTTACTACCAGTTCTCCAAACTACTCAAAATTTCTGCTACCGGTTCTCCAGAACTGGTCAGAACCAGCTGAAACAAACTCTGGTCTGTATAGGAAGGATTCTCACCCAGGAAATGCAATTTTATATATCCCCAAATTCACCCTCCGATCCGGGTTATACTCTGAAAATTTTTAGCTTAATGTGACATGGAGCAAACCAGCATATGTTGCATCAAATCCCGCAGCCGCATCCTTCGTATTGCATCGTGATCCCTAGAGTTTGATAAGATTTGCCCTCTTTACTAAAGAAAATGATTTATAAATAGCGGAGACAAGTTGAGGCTGGATTTGGTAACCAGGTTGCTTCAGAGATCAGGATACAGAATTTTCTCTTCCTATGTAGGCAGTTTTAAAAAAAAAAACGTTTCAGATTTTAAGTTGGAAGGTAGTCATTTAGTCCTGAGGAAACCTGAACATAATATTTAGTAAATCACAGTGCAGAGGGAAGGCTCTTACTGTTGTGTGCACGAGGCTGATCCTATGGATGAACTGTTTCAATGCGACGCTGTCTTCCTTCAGGACTTCAGTTTTCTCATACAGCTGAAAAGGCCAAAGAGAGACAGAGAAAGTTAACGTGTCCTTTTTTCAAAACCTTTTTTCTGAGTGTTTGAAGAACTATTTTCCCCCAGTAGTTTCCTCTGAACTACCCGCCCCCCCCCCCGAAAAAGAGAGACATAAGCTGTATAATTAATCACTTTTTTTCTTGAGAGGGTCAAGGGTCAACTCCCGATCCCTGATCCCTTTCTCCCTCTGGAAACATAACTTTTAAGAGATCACCCACCAAAAAATTCAAAGATTTGGAGTTTTATCATCCTCTTCAATGGTTTCCACCACCACTACCATAGCTGCAGCTACTATAGCTGCTATTGTGAATTAGATAGTCCTTGATTTACAATCATTCATTTAGCAACTGTTCAAAGTTACGACGACACTGGGAGGAAAAATGACTTACAACAAGGTTCTCGCACTTACAACTGTGACAGCATCCTTATGGTCATATGATTGAATTTCGGGCACTTGGCATCCGGCATGTATTTTACAATGAATGCAGCATCCCAGGGTCACGTGATCACCATTTGAAATCTACCCAGGTGGCTTCCGACAAGCAAAATCAAGGGGGTGGGGTGGGGGGGGTGGGAAACAGGATTTGCTTAAGGACTATATGATTCACTTAACAACCACTGTGATTCGCTTAACAAGCGTGGCAGATATAAAAATTGGGCACGATTTACTTAACAACTGTCTTGCTTAGCAATGGAAAGTCGGGGCCGAAATGTTGTAAGTTGAGGGCTACCTATAGTAATGACCGTAGAGAGGGCTATGCTAAATGAGGATATTGGTTTAGCTTTACCTTGTTACAGCAATAATAAAGTCAAATGGATAGATAGATCGAGAGAGAGAGAGAGAGAGAGAGAGAGAGAGAGAGATAAATGATAGATGATAGATAGAGATAGATAGAGATAGATGATAGAGATAGATAATTAGATGATAGATAGATAGAAAGGTAGATGAGAGAGAGACAGACAGATAGATAGATATAGATAGATGATAGAGAGATAGATAGATAGAGAGATATAGAGAGATATATAGAGATAGAGATGATAGAGATAGAGAGATGATAGAGAGAGAGATAGAGAGATAAGATACATGATAGAGATGATAGGTAGGTAGGTAGGTAGATATAGATGATATAGATAGAGAGATGATAGAGACATAGAGAGAGAGAGAGATTATATATATAGAGAGAGAGAGAGAGAGAAAGAGAGAGAGAGGGAGAGAGAGAGAGAGATGATAAAGAGTTAGATATAGATAGATGTGAGAGAGAGAGAGAGAGAGAGAGGGAGAGAGAGATTGCAATCTTTCCCCTGTTCACAACCCAGATTTCATCAGTGGTGAAAGTGATGTCCACAACCATTTTGGAACAGATTCTAGTTCTGTAGTTTGAACAACTGCTCAACTCAACCATTCTTCTGAAACGAAATCAGGGATCACCAGAAAGAACAGCTGCAATTGTTGTTTTTCTCCGAAAACTGGCACTGGGAAAGGAATGAAGGTTTTGATTCTAGAACAGCTTCCTCAGATGTTTGGAGGATGCTGAGAACAGATCATCCAGGCAAAGAGAACAGACGTTAAACCATATTATTTTCTGGATCAAGCCCAACATGGCATTATGGATGTAATTTGACTTTTTAAAAAAACCACACTAATGATGGGGAAGAGGGCTGAAAATTATCAGGATCAGAGAGCAAACTAAGACCCGCCTTTATTTACCAGCTGTGAAGCTAATATCTGCTTCTACCAGAAGTTCAGCTTTTCCAGAGTGCGGCCCTGATGACCGCGCGTGCACGCACACATGTGACGTTTCCGCGTGACCTTTTCAGCACTTTTCGGTGCCGAAAAGATTCACCATCACTGGAATAGCTTGTTTCCTGAAGTTGCTGATGCTTCATCACTCAGGCTCAGGCTCAGGCTCAACCCATCCAAGACCGAGTGGCTGTGGTTTCCGACGTCCCGGTATAGTCAGTTGACGCCATCTCTGACTATTGGGGGCGAATCACTGGCCCCCACGGAGAGGGCTCGCAACTTGGGCGTCCTCCTGGATTCACGGCTGTCTTTAGAAGAGCACTTGACGGCCGTGACCGGGAGGATTTTTTATCAGGTTCGCCTGATTCGTCAGTTGCGTCCCTTTCTGGATCGGGACTCGTTACGCACAGTCACTCATGCCCTCGTCACCTCCCGCCTGGACTATTGTAATGCTCTCTACATGGGGCTCCCCTTGAGGAGCACCCGGAGGCTCCAACTGGCGCAGAGTGCGGCCGCGCGGGTGGTAATGGGAGCGTCATGGCGCTCCCATGTGACACCTCTCCTGCGCGAGCTGCACTGGCTCCCGGTGGTCTTCCGGGTGCGCTTCAAGGTTTTGGTTACCACCTTTAAAGTGCTCCATGGCTTAGGACCTGGTTATTTACGGGACCGCCTACTACCACCAATAGCCTCCCACCGGCCAGTACGCTCTCATAGAGAGGGACTCCTCCGGGTGCCGTCAGCCAAACAATGTCGGCTGGCGACCCCTAGGGGGAGAGCCTTCTCTGTGGGGGCACCTACCGTCTGGAATGAGCTCCCCCCAGAGATACGGAGGATCCCGGATCTGCGCACCTTCCGCCGCGCTGTGAAGACTCTTTTATTCCATCAAGCAGGCTTGGCCTAATCTCCTCCCCCTTTTAATACATAAATTTTAAATCTGTTCTTAAATTATTGGGGTGTTTTAATTTGTCTGGGCCAAAAAATGATTTAATTCGATTTTAACTGGTTTTTTAAATTTTTGTATTTATGTATCTTATTGCTTGGCTGTTCACCGCCCTGAGTCCTTCGGGAGTAGGGCGGTATACAAATTAAATAAATAAAAATAAAATAAATAAATCACTGGAGGTTTTCAAGAAGAGAAGAGACAAGCATTTGACTGTGATGGGATAAAGCTCTCTGCCTTGAGAGGACTGAGGTCCTTTTCAACCCTGTGAGTGTAATAAGGCTGATTGTGGTATAGGCTAACCTGAAAGGAAAGCTGAAAAGGCATGGTAGGCAGAGATTCATGAGGACATCCGCTTCCAGGCAGGACACCACTCTGGCAGAAAGGCAGTAAGCTTTCTATTTCTGTGGAAGGAAAAAAATTTAGTGCTAGGAGACAAACACTGCAAGACAAGCAAGGAATTCCTGCTCTCCAAAAAACAGGCTTGAATATTTAAGATTCCCTTCTATCAGTTGATACAAGAAAGCAAGTGCAAGCAAGGAGGATTATATCAGCCTTTTAATATACAAGCAGTCCTCGACTTACTATTATTTGTTTAGTGAACGGTTGACCTTACAATGGCACCGAAACAAGTGATGTATGACTGCTCCTTGCACTTATGACCATCACAGCATCCCCACGATCATGTGATCAAAATTTGGGCGCTTGGCAACCGGCGTGTATTTATTTCCCAGCTGGCTTACACAAGCAAGGTCAATGGGAGGAAGCTGGATTCGCTTAACGATCATAAGACTCACTTAAAAACTGCAGTGATGTACTTAACAACGTGGCAGTAAAGGTCATAAATTAGGGTGCAATTCACGTTAACCAACCACCCTGCTTAACAACAGAAAATCTGGGCTGGATTAGCTTGTGGTCTGATCCACCAAAAGCACTTTTATAATCTCAAATAATATTAATGATTTGAGCCAATTATGGTTCTAAGTCAAGGACTACCTGTATATATACACACACAAAAACACACACACACATAAATGTTTGTTTAAATGTATTAGATGCCCAACTCCAAAAAAATTAATCAACAGGTATTAATCAGCCATGTTGCATTTTCAAATTGATATTCTGAAAAATGCTTGTAGAGAATCAGAAGGAAACTTGGAGCACCTTTTCTGACTAACAAATTTTATTATAAGGCATAAGCTTTCATGAGGTGAGCTGCAGCTTGGGCCTTTATTAAAATTTGTTGAAAAGATCTACCAGATTCCTCCTGATTTGGGGCTAACATAGAATGACCTGCCTCTCCTTCTACAATGTCTACAGTGCATCTTAAACATTCATATCCATTCAGGGATCTCAGAACCCATCTATTCCTATATTGTACAGCGTATTGTATTGTATTGTATTGTATTGTATTGTATTGTATTGTATTGTATTGTATTG